TAATCTTCGTAAATTTCGCGCAAAAGGTAAACAAACGCTGGCTCTGAAACGATCTACGTCATCGTCATTTCGTAATAAACAGGTGAAATCAAAAGCTTACAAGAAAGTAATGGCTAGCTGAATGAATTAATTTTTTTTTGAATAGGCTTAGCAGAAGAAAGACGAAATTTCGAGACCATGACTATTTCTAAGATTTCTTCAAGTTGATCGATCTGTTTTCAAAAGACAAGTAGATATTCTGTAAACTCTACAACGTTTGTCTAGAAAGTTTTCCTGCAGCTGCCTTAGTTTTGTGGATTTTTTTAAAACTCCTGAATGATGCGTCCAAACGTAACGAAATTTTTACCGGTGATACAAGGCGTGACTATTAACTGATGGTAAAAATTTCAAGGGCGTACAGCCCTACCAGGTCCAGAACGACTTTAATAAAGTCAAAAAAATGAAATTCCGAGACTTTTAGCCAAGCCGTAAGGATAAAGAAAATTTTTCGAACCTTGTTATTCGAAGGTGACTATTAGCTGGCAGGGTCGATACATAAAATCGAATTTAGCTGAATCGAATTTTAGACTTTAAGCTATGTATAAATAGACAGTATCGTTTCTTATTTCATTCAGCACAATAAAAAAGATGTACTTTTTCGAGTATATTGACTTATGATTGTGCTGAAATAAGGCTAGAACTTATAAGAGATATTCGTCGTTTTTCTACTTCTGTTTAGGTAATTTTATTTTTCGGTTGCTACGTGTTTTCTTGTGAAACTTCTCCACTGTATATGTTTATAAATAAAATATGTAAAGAGGGGTGTACTTTTATACACGACCAAAGTCTTGTGTTATCGCACTTTGGAAGAGACCAACAAACGTTTCCTTCTATAAACTTCAATTCTAATCCCTACAAACATGGAGCTGAGCTTCTCAGAAGTTCAGTTTAGAAATTCCGAGATACGATGCACTGGAATTAGTTCGACCTTAAGACATTAAGTTAATTTACGCTGATAACTTTTCTTCATGTACATCCATCATATGCAAATAGGCATCTTATATGCATGATGGTCACGACAACGTTCTTTGTTTGTTCTGTGATAAATACGCATTAATCTGCCTTGCTATCTGTCGGATCGTTTATGCTGTGGTTTACCGTTCTCACCAAGTCGCCAACCATAAACAAAACGTTTAGAAATTTACTTTTTCGGAATTGCTGGAGAATCGAAATACTGGAAGAAATAGGACGTGTAAGCTCTTTTTGATATAGAAACGGCTAATTATTTTATTTAAAAATAATGTGATCATCTACGCACTGTCGATGTTTTGTGCTAACAGAGAAGTTTTACATGGCAACAATCACCGTAATTTGGGATAAATTTTGTAGTAATAATTAAAAGTTTCCAGACTTCCTGTTTTTGAATATTGACTAATTAGTACTAATTAACGTTAATTCAGCCTGCTCTACTAGTTTAAAGTCTCATTTAGTTTAAAGTCAGAAGATATAAAAACGTTCATTGAAAAGCTCGCAGGACTAGAAGGGTTTCATACAATGAATCTGTCCTATTCGATCCCATTACGTAATCTATTTAAAAGTACTGAATTCAATTCGTCATTATATTTTCTTTATAGTGATTTAGAAGACAAGTATGAGGATGAATTATATGAACTGTTGTTATTTGATGTTAATAATTACATATGGAAAATTGAGAAAACATATGATGATGCTGAGAAAAAAAGCTATTATATTTGTCAGTCAAACGCCACGAAGGAAAATTTAGTTGAAAAACAACGTTCAAATACAAACTTATTAAAATTATTAAATAGTGATTTTATTAAAATTAATCACAGCGTTGCCAGGACTGAACGTTTTCAGTTAGAGATAGGAGATGACGATAATATAAACTATATGGGCTATGGAAGTGGTATTTATGACAATACTAAATTAAAAGGAACTGTTTGTGCGTTCGTTAAACCAAAAGATAAACAACATTTAGTCTTAACATGTAAACATGTAACTGAAGGTTTGACGATAGATTCAACAATAATCACTCAGAACAGTAAGGCAACTACACATATTAGAATTAATCAACCTAAAGACACAAATATCGATGTTAGTATCTCACCAATTCGTAGTGGCATACCAAAATGTGTAATACCAAATTTATTGATTCTTTGTAAATAAGGCCTGGGATAAAATCATTATAGGCCTGGCTTTAACAATATTCGAGTATGGAGTATGTAAGCTGAAGTATAGATTAATAGCATCATAGGAATGAACAAGAAAAGAAAAAAAATAAGGAGGGGATAGCAGCCCAAGTCAGGAGTAGTAGTGACTGACAGTTATTCATGAAAATAACAATATATGTGTTGCTAGTTAGATCTCGTTGCAGATTATAAAATGAGCACTTGAAGAAATAATGTACAATATCCTCCCTTCCAGCGAATTCGTATTCCAGTGCAAACTGATGCGAACTGACAAAAATGCCGAAAAAATAACCAAAAAGGTGCCTCTTTTGTTGTCCAGTTTTGTAAACTGGGACAAATTCGTAGGCAAGAAATTTCGGGTACCCACGAATTCGTAAATCGAATTGGTCTACTATCGACGAATTCATGAAATGATCTTTCTGTTCCCCAAGAATTCGTATACGAATTCGTAAATTGGCAAAAATACGATAAAATGCGAATTTACGATTTCGTAGATGCCAAAGCATATCCGACGAATTCGTACATAAAATTCGTAAATTCGCGTAGTTCTCACCTCACTTCGCCGTTATTTTTACGAATTCGTAAAATGCGAATTGATCTCAGCGGCAAGACGTTTTTCTATGAGGTTAAGAAAACAAAGAATCACCTCGCTACAATTTATTCAATTCTTTAATCAATTTGTCGATAGATTTTCGCGAAACAAAATAGAGAGGAACCTCTCTCCTTTCTCGTGAAGAAACACCAAGTTGTCGAGGAAGAAAGATGAAGTTCTTGTGAAGACACACCAAGTTCTTGAGGAAAAAACCAGCTAAAAAAAAGAACTAGGTGTTTCTTCACGAGAATTTCATCTTTTTAAATCAAGAACTTGGGGTTCCTTCACGAAAACTTCATCTTTTTTCCTGAAGAACTTACGAGGGAAGTACCCCAACTGATAAATTGCTTTTTCAACGAAACCGAGTGGACTATAGGTAGTCGACGATGCTGATTCCGAATATTACCAAGAATGCTGCTGCTAGGTCTTCAAAGACAGGTCTTCTAGAAAACCAGTTTTCGAGAAACTCTATCTTTTTTGATCGAGAACTCGGTAAGTAATGGTCGGGTACCGATCCTGATATCAGATTCTGAACCGCTATCATCGACTCCCGATTCCAAATTGTGTTTACCTATGATCAACTCCCTTAAAAACTGAATTTAGTAATTGAAAAAGATGAAGTTCTCATGAAGAAACACTAACAAGGGAAGTACCCCAACT